CTACCTTACAAATCTGGCTAGACCAGAGGATGTTCACTGGTACAGATAGGAACTAGAAACACAGGGAATCCAGGACAGATGAATCCCTCAGGACCAGTGCTGAGAGTGACTATACTAGGAGGGTGGACGGAGGGTGAGGTGGAAAGGGGAAACCGATTACAAGGATCTACATATAACCTCTTCCCTCGGGGATGGACAACAGAAAAGTGGGTGAAGGGAGATGCTGGACAGTGTAAGATATGACAAAATAATACTAGTGTATAAATTATTAAAAGTTCATGATGGAGGGGTACCCGGGAGGGAGGGGAAAAATGAGGACCTGATGCCAGGGGCTTAGGTGGAGAGCAAATGTTTTGAGAAGAATGATGGCAATAAATGTACAAATGTGCTTGGCACAATGAATGTATGTATGGATTGTGATAATATTTGTATGAGCCCCCAATAAAATGATTTAAAATAAAAAGGGGGTGGTTTAAGAGAAGAGTGCTGTAAGAACCAGCAGCCAGATGGTCCAGGTTTGTGTGTTCTAGTAAAGCTCCTGCTCTTACCCAACTAAACATACTTTTCATCTTGTAAATTGTATTGGCTTCAGTGTAGAAACTAGATTGGAAAGGATTAAGAAGGGCTGCAGGGCCTCATTGAAGGGATTGTTGCAGTGGTCTGGGAAATTGGTGATGGTCATTTGACTAGGAAAATAAACAGAAATGTCTGTTCTTATGTTTATTTTTCAATAATACATGTCCAGATGGCCTTAAAACTACATCCATATAAAATTATATTCCATCAAACACAGTAATTTGCTTTTGAAAAGTATTTAATGTCTTAGGAAGATACACAATGACATAAAGCACAATGGGGAGCCATAACTATAAGATGTACCCTAACTGGGTAAGCACAGAAAAGCTAGTACAACAAGAAGAAACAGGAGAAAAAGCTGAAATTCTATAAAAATTGTATGATTATCTCTTCTCCCTCTCATTCCTTTTACATACCACTGCTGGTTCCCAGACCCCTACACTCTGCCTAGGGCAAACCTGTCCTCCCAGGGGGCAGCCTGACTCCTAAGACAGGGCCCCACACAGGACGAGCCAGTGTTACACACAGCACAGCACGCGGGCCAACTATTTCTCTACCAATTTTGTCAGTTCTGTCTCCCTCTCTTTCCTTTTTTCTTCTTTTTTTACACTAGCTGTGTTCTT